AATTGTTCAAACAAAAAAAAAAAACATTCTGAAAACGCCGCTATATTGCCTTTAAATGACAACCCAAAATATCATGGGCCATCATGTTTTGCGTTTTGGTAATTTAAATTTTAAATCCGAGTATTAGTGCATGCAACTATGTAGAGGTATTAGAACTAGGGCCATTCCATTACGGCCCAATAAAATCCTAAATGGGCATCTTTAGTTTATTAGTATATGACAATATTTTCCCCTTTAACCAATATTTACTTATTTAAAGCTTCCAAATTTAGATAGTTAAAATTCAAACATAAAAACATACAATTCCATATAACATATTCAAAATTCTTAACGTGATTTACTGATGATTGTTTGACTTTTCTAGTTGGATGATATTACTATGGAAAGCCAGTTAGGAATTGAGAATGTTTCTCTTTATTTATATCTCCAAACAAAATTAAGGATAATGGATTCTGATTGAAATAATAACATTTACAAAGACTTGTCATAATACCGCATAGAATTTCTTAGTGCTATTTACAAGAAAATCATGTGATCATAAACTTTTTGTCTTGGCTCATGGGTTGACCTTCGTTGACTTCTAAACCATATCCAACGATTAAAATACATAAATCAATGCTCATGCTCTTGCGGCGGAAGCGTTTTCCTGGCCGGAACCACCATGGAGGGGCTCGCAGAAGTGGTGACTCGCTCGCAGCGAGGACACATGGTGAGGCTCGAGGCGGAAGTCACCGTGGGTGGGCCAACCTTCATGGCTCTAAGCTCTTCTACTTCTCTATGGAGCCTGTGGTTCTGCTCGGTTAATGAACCAAACCACCTTTTCAGATATTCGCATTCCATCTCCGTTTGCTTCAATTTGCTCCTAAACCAAACAAAATCACCAAAACGGTACGGTACGAGTTATTATTCAATATTTATGCGATGTAACTAAACATCTTAAACTCATAGAAGTTGTTGACTTATGACATGCAAACAAGGATATAAAATGCTTGTCGACGATGCAAACATATACTACTACTATTACAGATATAAACAAAACATGCAAAATAAAAACGCATGAACGGCCCAATGAATTATGAGTCAAGGGGCATGGATGAGAAAGTAAGTACACGAGGCAGAAGAAAGAAAACATGAAAATTTTCAAAAAATGTCATTTTTCAAGTGTTATTTTACAAAAATACCACACTTTTGAAATCTTTACAAAAATGTCACTTTTTCAAAATTATTTTTTCTTTATATTATTTATATTTGGGTTAATTATGTTCTAATAGGGTTTACTTATGGGGGTTTATAGGGATTTAGGGGTCAAAACATTTTTTAGTGTTTAGAATTTTAAGATATAGGGTTTAAAAATTTATAATCAGT